GGAGTTCAAGTATACTTATACTGGAACTCCAGCATAATATACTGGAGTATTTTCCGGGTTTTGAACATTGTTTTTGCTCAGATTTATCTTTACATAAAAAGTGGCTAAATTTCGATTACTTTTAAAATTAAGCTATTTTTGAACGACCAGTTGTAAATCTGGCTATTTTAAAATCACCAGTAAAAATCCTTATTATCCAATTATGAGAAACTACCCCTATAGCCCCTCAAAACTTTTAATAGCCCATGTTTTGTCCTACTTACAAAAAATGGACCCTTCGGCCCAAACGTACTTGCATATAGTAGNCGGGTTTTGAACAGTGTTTTCGCTCAGATTTATCTTTACGTAAAAAGTAGCTAAATTTCGATTACTTTTGAAATTGGGCTATTTTTGAACGACCAATTGTAAATCTGGCTATTTTTAAAAATCACCCCATTCTTTGACAATTTGATAGACTAAAGTAGTGTTGCTATTTCAGAAAGAATGGTGTACGTGGTCCTCAGTGTGGTAAAGGTGTGCCCTTAAAGCTAAGGCCACTATTGTTGGGCTAATTAACCCTCTCACACCAAAAGGCAAGTTGGGGTTCACGTGATTGTGTTGAGAGAAATATGTAAAGTTATAATTGAAGAGCATGAGTCACTATGGCTATGAGAGAAATCTGGAAATTAAAATCTTGTCACTCCTTTACATCCTCTTCCCCCCATGTGCTTGTTTTCCACTCAAGTATATTGAATGGAGGTGCCCACTACTGTTTATATGGACCATTTTTCTATCTTCTACTGTTCATTTTTAATTTCTTAAGTATTAAAGGAAAACGAGACCAATATTACTTGTGCATCCATAGTGTGAAAAATATTTTTTATTAGGTTAAGTTAACCTATAATAACATGACGATTTAATTATACCGATTATCGATAGTATTGTATGTTGTTTAAACTCCAATCACATAGAGGAAAGCTGCGCGATGATTTCGGACTAAGAAAGAAACTCTCCTTACATAGTTGCAAGAAACTCACAAGATCCAGCATGGGTTGAAATTATATATAGTGTCGTGTGAGTTCGATGTGCGAAGAAAAATAATTTAATATATATGGAAGTGTTACAATAATTGGAATAATAAATATGTTCTCACCAATCATTCATCACAAATCATATTAGAGTAAACTCCATAAGTTAGTTGATCCTAGTATTAGAAGAGAATTCTACAAAATTTATATATAAAAACTATAAATTATGTCTTCAACCAATGTGGATCACTCACAAAAGATGTACAAGTACATTTGAGCTAACACTTTCAAAACTGTATAATAATAATAATAATTTGTTAACAAATTTTTTGGTTAGAATAATGATTATTGTACTCCTGCTGGTGGAGTGGGTGTGGGTAAGTAGTGTTTGATTCCTTCATTTATAATTTGTTGTAATTACATAGATCTCTATTGAGTTTTAATTATGCTTCTTTCTCTTACCACCATTTTTATTTTAAAGCACTAGAGCTGCTCATAAGACCTTTTTCTATAATGTCAAATTCCAATTGTATTCTACACACTGACAAATATTAGAGTATCATAAATACTGCTAGTAATTAGACTTTTAATAGTGCCAAGTACTTCATTATTTAAAAACAAAAAAAAAAACATCTCCAATAAGATTAAGATAGATATTAGATTTTAGTTGTGCCTGCTGAAAGTGAAAGAACACAAATAACATCTCAAATTAAGTATCAAATCTTGTAAGACCATATACATATAAGATAAATAATGTGATCACGTGCCAATACTATATAAGCCCATAATCCTACATTAATTACTTGAGATATATAATATAAGAAGAAATTTCTCTCTTCCATTTTGGTGCTTCGTTTAGCAAAATATCTGATTTACATAAGATATAGGTTTTCTGATATTGAGAAAGTCTTTCGAAATTCTTTTCTGATAGTAGTTAGAAAAATCTGTATATTCCATGTAACATCATCCATTTTCAAATTGGATTTTTATGATTTCCATGTTTGAAATTCTAAAGCTGTAAAATAAAAACACCAAGCTCCTCCCCTTGAAGATACTAATTAAACCAACATGAGCTTCTGATATCAATGGAGTATATATAATCATAGACGAATTTAAAATCTAAAATCACTAAATTTAGAAGAAACATGTTCTAATTATATGCTTATATGTATTTTAGTTATTTTGTTGTATATATAAATAGTTGAGTCAAAAATAATTAAGGAGTTCGGTTGATCCCGTATAACCACCCTTGATTCTGCCTCAAAGTATAAGTTTATTGGAGAGTATGAGCTTTTGGTCAAAATATAAATAGGGGTTAGAAAGAAAAGAATCTTTCGATTTAGAAACTAGAATTCTTTGTTTGAAAATTTTTTGGAGCCCGGACACGAGGTCTGAATATTAAGTATATATGAATCATAGTTCAAATATTTCTTAATCTATTTCGTGTTCCAAATATTAGAATAAATATCTGACGAAGTAGAACCATCTCTATCAAGATGACAGACCCATTCTCTGTACTATCAATAGGATCAATTATAACAAGTCACACACTCATACTCCGGAAATACAGAAACAAAGAAATCCCACGATCGAACTACCAAAAAAAATAGAATGGACTAGAAATCGGAGCTCTAAATGATTCATTTTGGACTCAAAAGCAAGAACTTTGCGGTTCTTATAGATCTAATTCATTGAAATTTCATCCAATAAAACAGAAGAATTATAAATCTCCAAAATAATAGATAGAAATACCGCAAATAAGAGAGGACGCACAATATTTTCATCGTGTCCAAGTGTACACAATTCTTTTAAAAGATAATTAAGCTAGGTATTATATCTTAATTAACCTGTGTTCTTTTTAAATTAAAGATTAGAAGCAACCTCTCAAAGGGCACTATTTTATCAAAAAAGACATACCAACTTCTTGCATGACCATGTACATTTAATTTGTCAAAAATATATCTCACCTACTTTTAGGAGGAGCATATATTTGAGTACTACTCCCTCGTCTCATAATATGTGTCATGATTACTAAAAATAGTTGTCTCAAATTATTTGTCATTTTAGAAGTTCAAGACAAAATTGATATTTTTCCTTTTTTACCCTTAATAATCAATTGCATTCACATTTAGTAAAATTATGGATAATGTCATTGATAGAGATGACACATAAATTGATAAACATTTAACAAGGGCAAAGTAGTCAAAAACTATTCTTTCTTAGGGGCGTGCACAAAAGAATCACGACACATATTATGAGATGGAGGGAGTACAATTTAAATTTATGTGTACTTTCTTTATTCCGGTCTAAACATGGTACGCCTATGTTTTTGCCTTGTCTTATAGGATCACACTGATCAAATTAATGTTTTAGGCTGGGAGATCGAAGTTATAAAATTATAAAGTGAAGTGTTTTATACAACTTTGTTCTTTCTATATATAGGCATAGATGTGCACCCACTGACGTCTGCAATGTTATATCTATGATTAATTCCATTTTGAGAGCATATAGTTTGAACATCACCACCTAAGTTATTAGCTTTCGGGGTCTGACCTAATCATCAACAAAATGGGAGGAGAACAACGAGATCTCAAGTTCAAATTTCAGTTGAAACAAAAACATACTTGATAATTTCTTTTTATCTGCCTAAACTTTAGTTGACAGATCATATACATGTGTTGATAAGAAATATCAAATACTAGATGAAAGAGTCAGTGACAGATGTAGATGGCAAATATTAGCTTCATCTGAACACAGAGTTTTCGACATAAAGTATAGAAATATATGATAAATATTATATTCTGAATCTACAATTAAAGTACGTAATGACTTTAATTTGCAAGAACCTAAATATTAAACCCATCAATTTAAAATCCTGAATTCACCCCTAAAAATATAGGGGTTGAACCGATCACCACTATCATAAAAAGAAATGTTATTAGCCTCATTTCTTCATAAAAATATGATTGCAAAATAGTAAATAAAAAATGCAAGTTTCATAATTGAGGAAAATAGGGGGGGGGGGGGGTTTGGGGAAGTTTCCCGACTACGTTTTAATTAAGTCCTATTATTGCTTAGATATTTTTCTTTACTCTTCGACTTTTTAAATTTGAAGTTTT